TTTAGGGTTTAGGGTTTAGGGGTTAGGGTTTAGGGTTTAGGGTTTAGGGTTTAGGGTTTAGGGTTTAGGGTTTAGGGTTTAGGGTTTAGGGTTTAGGGTTCATGATGCCCTATGTCTTGAAAAAAAACACAACATGCGACTCGGCTGCTGTGCCTGGAGACTCTGACTGAGGGCTGAAACTGTGCACTCGATTTCTCCAAAAGCCTGATTCTGCAGCTTTCACAAGCGCCTTCTCCCACCCCAAATATGGTTTAGGGTTTAGGGTTTAGGGTTTAGGGTTTAGGTTTGGGGTTTAATGGCGTCGAACCTGGTTCGTTTGGGCCTCCTTGCCAGCGGCGACGTGGGCAGGCTGCCTGTTGTGCTGGAGGCGCTAACCTGCATGCCTCAAGGGGCACTCATCCTTGCACGCTGCACGCAAGGAGACTCTGACGTGAAGGGCGCTCCTGACGTCGAAATCCCTAGCCCGATTTTTCTCCCTGCAAGCCTCACCCAAGTCGATCTTCAAATCTGGAGCCTTAGCCCTAAACCCTAACCCCTAGCGCCCCTAAACCCTAAACTTTAAGCCCTTACACCACCCGAAACCCTAAACCCGAAAACCTGAACCCAAAACCCTAAACCTCAAGCCCTTGCACCACCCGAAGCCCTAAACCCCAAGACCCACCCTAAATCCTAAACCCTAAACCCTAAACCCTAAACCTGAAATTTAAACCTAAACCCTAAACCCTAAACCCTAAACCCGAAACCCTAAACCCTAAACCCTAAACCCCAAACCCCAAACCCCAAACCCCAAACCCCAAACCCCAAACCCTAAACCCTAAACCCTAAACCCTAAACCCTAAACCCTAAACCCTAAACCCTAAACCCAAGCCCGAAACCCCTTGAGGCCCAGTCGGTGGCCCTTTTTTCAAGGGCCTGGCCGGAAATGGGCTCTGGAATCGAGAGGCCCTAAACCAGCCTAAAAACCACCCAAAAAACCTAAAAGCCCCAAAACGCCTAAAAGGCACAAAGACCCTAAAAACCCTAAAGAACCTAGAAAAACACAAAAAGCCCAAAATGAAAAACCTAAAACCCGAAGAACCCTACAACCCCTAAACCCTACGCTACCCCAAGCCCTGAGCCTAAACTGTAATCCCTGAGCGCTGTAGTGTGTGATGAGATCTGGGGAACTACCCCAAACCCGAAGCCCGAAACCCTGAACCCTAAGCCTTTTTCAAAATGTAGCCCTCTTCAGGGTGAGGCAGGAACCTGGTTCAGGGTTGAGGCTTAGAACAATCCGAAACCCTAAACCCTAAACCCTAAACCCTGGTTCAGGGTTGAAGTTTCCGTACGCTTTCCGAGCTCCGGAGCCAGGGGCGATAGCTTGGGCCATGGCTTGGCGTGTCATCCGCATCCACCTGCTCAGCAAGTGTCAGATTTGGGGGTTTAGGGTTTAGGGCTTAGGGCTTAGGGTTTAGGGTTTAGAGTTTAGGGTTTAGGGTTTCGGGTTTAGGGCTCAAAACAACTAACAGTCCTTAATGGGGAACATAACAGGGGATACGATTATCCCTATTGAGGGCTCAGCAAGTGTCACATTTGTTTTAAGGTTTCAGGGTTGTAGGGTTGTGGGGTTGTAGGGTTGAGGGTTTAGGGTTTAGGGTTCAGGTTCAGGGTTTAGGGTTTGGGGTTTAGGGTTTAGGGTTTAGGGTTTAGGGTTTAAGGTTTAGGGTTTAGGGTTTAGGGTTTAGGGTTTAGGGTTTACCGTTTAGGGTTTAAGGAACCTTGAACCCTGAACTCTTGTGAGTCCGACAGCCCTGCCTTCACAACAGACCAAAGCTCCTAGTCACCCCAACCCTAAAACCCTAAACCCTTGAACCCTTGAACCCTGAAACCCTAAACCCTAAACCCTTAACATGCCTGAAGCCCGCAAAGCCCTCAACAATTAGCCTTGAAACCCACAGCTCTTCAAGCCTGTACCCGTGAACCCCAACTACCACGAGCCGTAAGCCCCCACAAACACAACATACCCAAACCCCTGAGACCCTGAACCCCGCCCACTAAAACCAGAACGCTGCAAACCACCAAAGACAAACAGAACAGGACGACCCCGTAAACTGAAGACCCAAAAGTAAAGAAACATTATCAAACGGATTCTAAGAATGTCGTTATAACCGTGATAAACAATATGACGGCAGGGCCTAGACCCCAAACCCGAAACCCCCAAACTACACAAAAAAAACACTTACGAACATGAACACTGACCAAAACAGCTCTGAAACACTGCCTAAAAATCCTAAACCCTGAGCCCTAAGCCCCAAACCCCAAACCCTTAAACCCTAAACCCTAAACCCTAAACCCTAAACGGGCCTCGGGGTCCTCTGGCAGCGCCACGGGCGGAGGCCGGTGCATGGTGGGGCAGCTGGGAGCCGAGCCACTTCGGCTGCGGGAGGCTCAAGGTAGGGTTTAGGGTTTAGGGTTTAGGGTTTAGGGTTTAGGGTTTAGGGTTTAGGGTTTAGGGTTTCGGGTTTCGGGTTTCGGGTTTCGGGTTTAGGGTTTAGGGTTTAGGGTTTAGGGTTTAGGGTGTAGGGTTTAGGGTGTAGGGTTTGGGGTTTAGGGTTTGGGGTTTGGGGTTTGGGGTTTGGAGTTTAGGGTTTTGGGTTCAGGGTTTGGGCTTTGGGGTTTAGCGGTTTGGGGTCAGGACAAATAAAGGTGCACTCAATCCATAAACCTTGGGCTCCATACCTGAGGGCTTTAAACCCTGAAGCCTTGAAGCACCCCCGAGCCCTTGCCCGATTTGGGCCTTGCCCACGAAGACTTGGGCCTTGCCCCACGAAGATTCGGGCCTTGCCCACGGGCGGGGGAGGGGGTACCCGGCAGCTTTTTCCGTGAGGACCCGGAACCCGCGCCGTGCGAGCTTGAAGGATCATGGGACCTGGGCGGGCATGCTTTGGGGGGGCGGGGGGGGGGGGGGGGCGAGGACCCCAAAAAGGTACCCCTAATTTTGTAAACCCCCACCTTAACTACTGCTCATAGCTTTTGGACTTCTCGGCTCATTCATTGTGTGAGGTCTACGCTGGCAGAATCGATGTACTACCTGCTGTATTTCCGTCATTCTCTTTTCCGCGGGGAGGGGGGGGGGGGCGGGCGGGTGGTGATGGGTAAAATTCTGCGGGGGAGGGAGGTCGCTCTTACCAAGTCCGCCTCGGGCCGCCCCGCTCTCAGGCCCTCCCCTTGCCGCGCGCAAAAGCACTTCTTTGTCTTCTTTGTCCACGTCGCGACAGCTCATCGACCATACTCATGCCCAGGTGGCCATGCAGCTCAAACAGCAGGCGGCCAACGTCCAGAGCCTTCGGCGCCATCCAACCCTGAAGCCTGAACCCCGATGGTGTTGCTCGTGCCTGACGAAACCCCCTAAATCGAAACCCTCTCCAAGTATAGGGTTTAGGGTTTAGGGTTTGGGGTTTAGGGTTTAGGGTTTCGGGTTTAGGGTTTAGGGTTTAGGAGGGGCTCGATGCTGAATGAAGCTCCAACCCTGGGACAATGCGTCGCTCATTCTTCCACCAACCAAACCTCAACCCCAAACATGCACGCACTGCATATCCCTAAACCCTAAACCCTAAACCCTAAACCCTAAACCCTAAACCCTAAACCCTAAACCCTAAACCCTAAACCCTAAACCCTAAACCCTAACCCTAAACCCTAAACCCTACAAAACACAAGGTAACAAATGTCACATGTCTGTATGTAGTTGCAGAAACTTACAACAAGTGTGCTGTCCGAAACGGAAAACCACCCTTATCTACACTCATCATCATTCCGCAGGGGGAAAGCTACAGTAACATCTTCACCCATAGGCGCATGCATTCGCCGAAACTCGAAACCCGATAAACCCGAAAACCGTAAACTCTGAACCTTAAACCCTGACTTCTAAACCCCATGAACCCTATCAACCCTACGAAACCTATAAACCCTCGAGACCCGATAAACCCCATGCACCCTATATTCCCTATACCCATGTAAACCTCAAACTCTGAAACCCTGAACCCTAAACCCTAGACCCTAAACCCTAAACCCTGAACAGGAGTGGCCTGCACCCCCCGGCATGCGATGTCGGCGACCAAGGCTTTCGCCTGGGGACCCCAGGACACAGCCACGACCTGGGTCGTGTGAAGGGCTTAGGACCGTAGGAGTTGGCCATACTTAGGGTTTAGGGTTTAGGTTTTAGGGTTTAGAGTTTAGAATACTACGTTGCCATGGAAAAAATGTAAACCAAGTTGCGAGAAATGCGTGGGGTTTAGGGTTTGGGGTATAGGGCTTGGGATGAAAAAATTGGTCGTTCCTGTTCCGGATACAAGACCGAATATAGGCGCCTGAATAATTAGAATAGGGTTTGGGGCTTCTTGTCGCACATTTACACAGGGACCATAAGGGAATACCAGTAGTAATTATTCCGACCCCTTTATTATTCTTTGGTGTAGGGTTAAAGTATTGGGGTAGTTACAGGGGTCCCAGCTTATGGAATTGCTGAAAGTGCCTGTGCCACTCCACAATACCAGACTAGACGAGAATGTGTTTTCAAATTTACCATGAGCAATAGACCAACCATCTCCCATGACAAGTACGATCAGATACTATCAGGTACTGTACGATACTATATGACAATGACAAAGTTTGACCATGGCTCTACGAACATTTTTCATACTGCATCATACTCTGTTACATACAAGCCTCTGACCTTCGTTAAACACCTCCGCGACCCCAAGGCGTGCCTCAAGTTGATTGCTGGTTGGGGGGGGGCTTTTGGGTTGAAGTTCAATCGTCACTGAGAATTGCAGCAATTATAGGGCACGTCCCTAATGCCCAAGCCGAGAGTTGTGTTGATTCGAAAGTACGGGGAAAGTATGTTCCAGCTGCTAAAGGGCTTTGGGACGGGGAAGAATACTTTGTCCGTAATCTGGAAAAATTGCCCTAAGCTCCCATCCTTTCCACCCACCTTTTTCGCCAGAGTCCCAGCTGAAACCCCCTCACGGGTCATTGCGCGGGCGCTTCCGGGCAGTTGGCGTGTTCAGGCGCAGGAGCCGCGCGACGTCGGCGTGGCCGACGGACTTTGCCCAGTCCAAGGGTGTCTGGCCGCTGCTGTCGGGTGTGGCTTCGGCGCCAGCAGCCAGCAACACACGGGCAATCCTATACTGAGCTTGGAACCCCAGGAAAAATTACAGTTCTTGCTGTTTCTTTGGAATTATATCAAACGTTTTTTTTGCTGTTTCTTCGGAATTATATAGTACACAAAAACACAAACGATTTCCAAGCACCCCTAAGCATCTTTAAGCGGCCGTGGCCACAAGCCCAGGAGAGGGGGGTTCTGCCAGAGTTGTCCGCCTTCTCCAGTGCGGCGCTGGCCTCTAGCAGCATGTGCACAATCTCCAGGCCCCTGGCCGCACAAGCCAGGGACAAGGGCGTCCTGCCCACCTTGTCTGCTCTATCAATGTCAGCACGGACCCGCAGCAAGAGGCGGGCAACTTCCACACGGAATGTGGCGCAGGCCCATGAGAACGGGGCCAAGCCATCCGTGTCCGCTTTCTCCACGTCAGCACCGGCCTCCAGGAGAAGCCGCGCAACCTCCAAGCGGCCCAGCTTGCTTGCACAGGACAGGGCGGTCTCACCCTCGCCTAGTTCATGGTTGTTCTCGTATTGTGAATTCAAATTTTCTATTCCTTATTGAGCTTTAGTACCCTTAAACATGTAAGACTTCTAGTCCTTCTTGGGCTTAAGTACCCTTAAAATGTAAAACTGCTATTCCTTATTGAGTTTAAGTACCCTTAAAAATGTGAAACTTCTATTCCTTATTGAGCTTAAGTACCCTTAAGCATGTAAGACTTCTAGTCCTTCTTGGGCTTAAGTACCCTTAATCATGTAGTAAAACTTCCATTCCTTCTTGGGCTTAAGTACCCTTACAAGTGTAACACTTCTATTCCTCCTTGGGCTCTTAAGTACCCTTCAGAATGCAAAAATGTTGCCCCCCCACTATGACAAGAAGTCGCTGTCAGCCGCATCCTTGTCGGCGCCAGCCTCCAGCAAAAGCCGGACCACCTCCAAACCTTGAGGTAGCCCAGTAAGCATCTTATGGCAAGGGCTTTTTAGGGTTTAGGGTTTAGGGTTTAGGGTTTAGGGTTTAGGGTTTAGGGTTTAGGGTTTAGGGTTTAGGGCTTGTGCTTAGGGCTTAGGGCTTAGGAGGCATACCCCTTTTTTTGGTTGGGTACTTTAATAAGGGAACCTTGAGCCCAGTAACCATCCTAAAATACGGGCACCTTTGTTTTTTTGTTGGCTCCTTGAATAAGGGAGCTTTGAACTTGAACCAAAAATATACTATAGTGGTACCACTGGGCTACCAAGCAGCGGTCCTGACTACACGCCAGGGCCAGAGGAGCGGCGCCGAAATTGTCAGGCCTGCCTGTGTCGGCGCCGGCCTCCAGCAGCACATGGACGACCTCCACGTGTCCCTCGATGCATGCCAAGGCCAAGGGGGTCCTGAAACCCCAAACCCTAAACCCTAAACCCTGAACCCTAAACCCTGAACCCTAGACCCTAAACCCTAAACCCTAAACCCCAAGGCCGAGAGGGTCCTGCCAAGGTGGTCAAGGCGCTCCACTTGCGCAGCGTCCTCCAGCAAGCGGCGCACGACCTCAGGGCTGCCGCCGACACCTAGGTTTGCCCCAGGAACCTAGCTAAGATGGCACTTTAAACCCTCTGAAAAATATTCCAAAAAAATATGACCCTCTTAAACCCGATAAGGGAAAGTATAACATGTCCCAAGGGCCTGCCTGGCTAGGATGAAAAATGTGTTTGCCTAAAGGGGTTCAAAAGGGAACCTGTACCCTGAACTCTGAACCCTAAACCCTAAACCCTAAACCCTAAACCCTAAACCCTAAACCCTAAATTAGGCCCTAAACCCTAAACCCTAAACCCTAAAGGGAATAGGGGCACGACTGGGCATCCCAGCCACAAGCCCAGGCTAAAGCAGCCCGGTCTTTGTTGTCGGTCTTCTCCATTGCCGCCCTGGCCTCTTAGTAGCCCTATAACCATATTACAATAAGGGCGCCCTTTATTGGTTGGTTACTGTATGATATAAGGGAACTAGAACCCAAAAAAGGAAAAGGGGTACAACTGAGCTACCAAGGCCTCCAGCAGCAAGCACGCGACATCCAGGTGGCCTTGGTAGCACGCCCACGCCAGGGGCGTCGTGCCGAAGATGCCGCGTGCAGAAAGTGCGGGAGGGGCAGTGCGGCAGACGTCTGGATGCTGGGGTCGCAGGAGGATGCGCTCCATGCTCTCCACATCCTCGGCTTGAAGGGTTGAGTAACCCTAAACCCTAAACCCTAAACCCTAAACCCTAAACCCTAAACCCTAAACTGTAAACCCTAAACCCTAAACCCTAAACCCTAAACCCTAAACCCTAAACCCTAAACCCTAAACCCTAAACTGCTGTTCAGAAACGTTGTCTTGAGCTGCAGCCATGAGCTCGGCCTCTTCGGCTTCAGAGGTGGGGCAAAAGCTCCTTAGTTGCTGAGTTCATAAGCCCCAAAAGAGATTAGGGTTTAGGGTTTAGGGTTTAGGGTTTAGGGTTTAGGGTTTAGGGTTTAGGGTTTAGGGTTTAGGGTTTAGGGTTTGGGGTTTGGGGTTTAGGGTTTAGGGTTTTGGGTTTACAGTTCTACAGGGGATTCGGGTAGTATCCAAGAAGTGTATTCAGTGTACTCATTCAGCTTTCGAGGCTCAAGAGCACAAGCTGGATCTGCATCGGCCCATCCAGCACGGCGTCATCCGCCAAGACGTCGCCTTCCATCGAACACCTGCACTTGGACTTGGAACCCCAGCAAAAACATCATGAGTTTGGCTGTTTCTTCGGAATTAAACTACCCAGAAGTTGGAAAAAGTTGAGCTGTTTCTTCGGAATTATAGTACCCAGAATAATTTTTTAAAAAAGGAAAAAGAGCTCCAAGTGTCCCTGAGGAACAGGCGGAGCTTAAATCTGGTTTCTCCGCACAAGCTCTGCAGGCGCTGCTTCAAGGCGCGGGCGGGAGGCAATCCCCGTGACATCCTTGGTGGTTTAGGGTTTAGGGGTTCAGGGTTTAGGGTTTAGGGTTTAGGGTTTCGGGTTTAGGGTTTCGGGTTTCGGGTTTCGGGTTTGGGGTTTGGGGTTTGGGGTTTGGGGTTTCGGGTTTCGGGTTTCGGGTTTAGGGTTTAGGGGTTTAGGGGTTTTGGGGTTTAGGGTTTAGGGTTTAGGGTTTAGGGCATAGGGTTTAGGGTTTAGGGTTTCGGGTTTGGGGTTTGGGGTTTGGGGTTTGGGATTTGGGGTTCAGGGTTTCGGGTTTAGGGTTTAGGGTTTAGGCTTTAGGGTTGGTTTAGGGTTTAGGGTTTACCTACAGCTTTTTGTAGTAGCTACCCTCAATTGGCAGGCTACACTTAATTAGCAGGTATAACCCATAAAGCTGTCTCCTAGGACTCTCTTTTCCTACAGCTTTTTGTCTAAGCTACCCTTCATTAGTATACGTATGACTTGGGATGTTACCCCCTATACTGACAGTCCTAAATAGGGATATAATTCGGTGCTAAAATCCATAATCAGGACTGTTAGTATAAGGGGAACATCCCAAGGTATACCCATAAAACTGTAGGTAGAGAGGGTCACTACCCATCATTAGTAACCCTGAGTAGGCATGGCCCATAAAACTGTAGGTAAAGAGTCGTACCTACCCTTAATTAGTACGCACAACCCACATAAAACTGCCCTAGACCCTAAACCTTAAACCCTAAACCCTAAACCACAGTAAAGAGGGTCCTAGGATCTCTCTGAACTCCTCAACGGACATGGCCAAGGCTTCGTCGCCCGACACCCTGAGGACGCGTAGCATGCCGGCCCGCAAGAGGAACCTAAAAATTGATTTGGGTTTGGGGTTTGGGGTTTAGGGTTTAGGGTTTAGGGCTTAGGGCTTCGGGCTTAGGGTTTAGGGTTTAGGGTTTAGGGTTTAGGGTTAGGGCTTAGGGTTTAGGGTTTAGGAATTTAGGGATTTAGGGTTTTAGGGATTTAGGGTTTAGGGTTTAGTAGCCTAGGAGTACAAAGGGTGTTGCTTTTGGCTTCTCCAGGGGCTTGTGAGGGAACCTCTGAACCCTAAACCCTCAAAAAAGCGAATATGGGCCTAGTCTGGATTCTAGCCCTAAACCCTAAACCCTAAACCCTAAACCCTAAACCCTAAACCCTAAACCCTAAACCCTAAACCATTTAAGATTCTCAACGAGCCAAAGAGTCGGAAGACTCTGGGAATCGAGGATGCTCCGAGAGCCCGCGGCCTCTACAGTCAGCGTGACGAGCCACTGCTTCCCATGGCAGCGGAGCGAACGCCACAAAGCCCTAAACTGGGTTCAGGGTTTAGAGTTTAGGGTTTAGGATTTAGGGTTTAGGGTTTAGTTAGGGTTCAGGGTTCAGGGATTAGGGTGCCCCCCAAAAATAGACAGTTAAGATTATGAAAGCACTCGACACCCTAAGAACCCCCAAAAAACACAAAGTCCTATTCCTTTTGGGATTGCTATCTTTTGCTCTTTGGGCTAAGCAAAGAGTAGTAAAGTTTGAAACCTCACTGCCCCACCCCTCGCACCTGCCAGGGCCTCTCGAGCCTGACAAGTTCTTCAACAGATCATGTCGAACAGCAGCCCCACGGACAGGGTTTAGGGATTAGGGTGTTTAGGGTTTAGGGTCTAGGGTTGAGGGTTGAGGGTTTAGGGTTTTGGGCTTGAGGTGTAGGGTTGGGATGTTCCCCCTTACACTAAAGAGTCCTTAATCGGGATTCTTGCACCCCCGAGTATAATCCTTATTTCGGACTGTTAGTAAAACGGGGCACATCCCAAGTTGAGGGTTTGAAGTTCAGCCCTAAGCCCTAAAACCTCAAAATCCCTAACCCTTCAGCTCTTCGGGTTTTGGGTTCAAGGGCACCCAAAAACCCGACGAAACTCACTCTTAAACCCTAAACCCTAAACCCTACATCCTAAACCCTAAACCCTCAAAAGAAGCCTGATGCAGACAAAGCTGCGTCGACATCGGTTTCGTCCACGATCTCTCCTTGGTGGTGTCAGGAGGCCGGCTTGAAGGTTTAGGGCTTAGGTTAGGGTTTCAGGGCTTAGGGGTTTAGGGGTTTCGGGGTTTAGGGGTTTAGGGGTTTAGGGTTTAGGGTGTTGGTTTGAGGGGCTGTTGAGCCCTATAATCCTAGAGATGTCCTCAGCTACCTCCTGGACGTGGGCTTACTCTGAGTGGGGGGTCTGGGGGTTTGGAGGTATCAGGGTCCAGGGCTCAGGGTTCAGGGTTTTGGGTCTAGGGTTTAGGGTAGCGGAATGCTGAAAACTCGAAGCCTTACAGCAGTTGGAGCTTATCAGCAGCTGCGCTGGGCTTCAGGCGAATGGTCTCCAGCACATGCAGCCACCGCACCTGGGCTACCACACCGTCTGTCCGCTGCGCGGACAAACGAACAACGCGCTTAGGGCTTAGGCGCTTGCACTGGCATTCAACCATAAACCTCAAGCCCTACACCTTAAAACCCTGAAACCCTAAAACCCTAAACCCTAAAACCCTAAAACCCTAAACAATAGACCCTAAACCCTAAAACCTAAAGCCCCGAAACCCTAAAACCCTAAACCCCTAAACCCTAAACCTCTAAACCCTAAAACCTAAAGCCCCAAAAACCATCTCCAGGTTGACATCAATCTTCCATCTTTGCCACGACCAAGTGCTGGAAAGCCCTAAACCCTAAACCCTAAACCCTAAAGCCTAAAAGCCCAGAACCCCGAGGCAGCCCTCTCCACCCCCTCAAAAAGAAAGAAAACCTGTAGTCAAACCTTTGAACCCGAAACCCGAAACCTAAACCCTAAACCCTCAAGCCCCTGTATCTTGAAATTATAAAAAAAAAACCTTCCTGGAAACTCCTCGGCACTTCCCCGGACCTGAACCCTTAATTTCAATAAACCCTAAAACCCTAAAACCCTAAAACCCTAAAACCCTAAAACCCTAAAACCCCAAAACCCTAAAACCCTAAAACCCTAAATCCCAAAAACCCAAAAACCCTAAAACCCTCAAACCCTCAAACCCTCAAACCCTCAAACCCTAAAACCCTAAAACCCTAAAACCCTAAAACCCTCAAACCCTCAAACCCTCAAACCCTCAAACCCTAAACCCCTAAAACCCTAAAACCCTAAACCCTAAACCCTAAACCCTAAACCCTAAACCCTAAACCCTAAACCCGCCGCGGGCGCCGGCGAGCCCAGAGCCAGGCTGTGGCGTCGCAGGAGCCGCACGCTCCGGGCGTGGGTGAAAGGAGGGAGGCGGCGGCTGGCCACCTGTTCTTGGGGAGGGTTTAGGGTTTAGGGTTTAGGGTTTAGGGTTTAGGGTTTAGGGTTTAGGGTTTAGGGTTTAGGAATTTAGGAATTTAGGAATTTAGGGTTTAGGGTTTAGGGTTTAGGCTTTAGGCTTTAGGCTTTAGGCTTTAGGCTTTAGGCTTTAGGGCTTAGGGTGTAGGCTTATAAGCATTTCTGGCATCAGTCTTTGGGCAGTTGATGTGCCCGCTGGGCAGAATGCGTGCCATCATGAGGACAGACGACCGGTAAATGCTTGCTAGTGTTTTGTTTCCTCATGATATTAATTAAGTTTCTTAGGGTAGTTGCATGGTCCCTTAATATGGGCCCTTAAAAGGGGACCCCCCCCTCTATACCCCTGAGATACCCCAGACAAATTGGAGGCCCATACTTCAGAACCCTTTGAGGGAGGTAAGGGACCATATTCAGGGCCCTTGAAACTACCCTTAAATACCCCCGAAACCCCAAACCTTCAACCCTAAACCCTAAAAACCCTAAAAACCCTAAAAACCCTAAAAACCCTAAAAACCCTAAACACACTAAAAACCCTAAAAACCCTAAAAACCCTAAAAACCCTAAAAACCCTAAAAACCCTAAAAACCCTAAAAACCCTAAAAACCCTAAAAACCCTAAAAACCCTAAAAACCCTAAAAACCCTAAAAACCCTAAAAACCCTAAAAACCCTAAAAACCCTAAAAACCCTAAAAACCCTAAAAACCCTAAAAACCCTAAGAAACCCTAAACACCCTAAAAACCCTAAAAACCCTAAAAACCCTAAAAACCCTGAAAACCCTGAACCCTTGGGTTGCCCATGCAACTACCCTTAGACAAGGTTATTGTCCAGAAAGGTTTCTGCTATGAAGCCCAAGTCCCGTGCTGCATGCCTCTCGCACCAGTGATCTACTATTTACGTAAGAACCCCCAAAAACCAAAAAACATAATGACTATATTACCCTCATAAGGAAGAATTGGTTTAAGTTTTTTGTTCTTTGGGGGTTCTTAAGCAATTGGTAGTGATGGATGCGGCACAAGTGGCCATAACAACACCCGAAGCGAGCCATAAATCATCATCATCCACGCAGCTAGCCCTGTCTGAAGGCTCAGGCAACTTCGTACAGTAAGTAAGGCCATGGAAGTACCCTAGGTCGGGTTCTCCGAACTACAACCTGCTTTCAAACCCTGAACCTTAAAATCCCCAGGCCCTGTCACCTTTTCTGAAGGATGCTGCGAAAGGGGGGGAGAGGTTTAGGGTTTGGAGTGCCTCCCGCATCATCTCGTAAGACACCTGCGCAGCGCGCACCTGAGGCCGTGCTGCCGCAGAAGTAGCAGACACGAAGCCCCTAATACAAATACAAGTACAGATACAATGCGTACAAACATATAATAGGTATGCACATATGTATACATAAATATGTATGTAAACCGCAGATGCGTATAAACTATACTTGTAATGAAATGTAGACGGCGAGTATATGGAGGCACAAGTGCAGGCAAATGCATGGTGATTAGTATATCTCGACATAACACATGTTGCATCTTTAGCGTAGCTCAGACTGTAGACTCCACTTAGCGTGCAGAGCGTTTGTTTGGCAAGCACTGCGCCAGTCTCAGGGCACTGTGTCTTGAAGCTAAGAGAACTTGAGCGATTCGGCTTCGAGTAACGTCAGACGTGCGCTAAGTTGGAACTCGCTGCAAGATACAACACGCCTCAAGCCCCAAGCCCTTAACCCTAAACCCTAAACCCGAAAGCTGGAAAGCCTAGCTGCTGGGAACTCGTAGTCCGGCTTCTTGGAAGAGAACATGACCCCTTGGTCGGGGGAAAGCCGCGGAATCTGGGGCTTACTGCTTAGGGCTTCGGGCTTAGGGTTTAGGGTTTAGGGCAGAGGGTCGACCAGATCCAGAGCCCCAAAAAATTCGGGCTTCAGCCGTGTTTTTAAAGGTGTTACCCTAGACCCTAGACCCTAAACCCTAGACCCTAGACCCTAGACCCTAGACCCTAGACCCTAGACCCTAGGCCCTAACCCCTAAACCCTAAACCCTAAACTCAAGGTGTTGGCAGGCAACGCAGCAAAGAAAGAGCACAAGTCGTGGTATGAAAAGCGCATCAGGGCCGAAAGTTCATTGAGAAATTCCCAAAGCCAGGCCTTTTAGTAAGGCTAAGGATTTAGGATTTAGGGTTTAGGGTTTAGGGTTTAGGGTTTAGGGTTTAGGGCTTGGGGCTTAGGGTTTAGGGGTAGCAGAACTGTGAATCTTGCGAGGAAACATCTTCTCTGGGCTCGGCTGCTGCTTTCAAAATGTCAACTGTGTGTCTCCAAGCCGCGCAGGGCGACTTGAGGTTTGGGTGAGTGTACCGGCCAGCCCTTTAATTAGGGTTTAGGGTTTAGGGTTTAGGGCTTAGGGTTTAGGTAGATTAGGGAGTTTAGGGAGTTTAGGGAGTTTAGGGTTTAGGGGTTAAGGTTTAAGGTTTAGGGTT